TCTCTCTCTCTCTCTCTCTCTCTCTCTCTCTCTCTCTCTCTCTCTCTCTCCTCGTCTCTTTCCTCTCCGTTCCTCTATCCATTCGGAGCGACCCTTGTATCCAGGCCTCACGCCCATTAAGGACGGAGGATTTTTCCTGCAGGATAAAAGAGCAACTTGCGCCGACGAATCGCGTGACGAAACTCCTGAATTCTAGTTGCCCCGCAGATCGCGCCATTCACGATCGGCGAGGAACCCGCAAATTGGGGCGAACAAGTCTCCGCGATCTGTAGCATACTGAAGGGTGACTATCCCATTGAGATACAATGGACACTCAACGGGGAGCCGATAACACGTCAAAACCAACCAGAAATCACGGTGACGAAAACCGGGAAAAAGATTTCGGTTCTTAGCATCGATTCGGTGGCCGCGCATCACGCCGGAGAGTTTACATGCGTCGCGAGCAACCTGGTCGGATCTGCCAGTCATTCGGCGACGCTTTCGGTCAATGGTATATCTACTCTTAAGTTCTTTTACACGACACACTGCCCAATCTCCACGTTCCTTCCCGCAAAACACAATGGACCTGCCAGTACCATCCCAGCCCGGCCCCACCCGCCGCGAGCTGCTGCTCGGCTCCAGGAGCTGCTGCCACGTTCCTGCGCGCGCTGTCCGTCCTGTTTTTCAAATTTGCCGCCATGTTCACCGGGTCTCCAGTCGCTCCACAGATAGGCCCGTTCTCATTCGGCGAGGAGTCCGTCAACGCCGGAGACCTGGCGTCGATTCAATGCGCCGTGACCAAGGGAGACCTCCCCATGGAGATCGGCTGGACCTTCGAAGGCAAACCGATAGGACCCGACAGGATGGACATTGTCGTATCGGATTCAGGAAAGCGCTTGAAGCAATTGACCATCGAGTCCGTCGCCGCAAGACACGCTGGGGAATACAGCTGCGTCGCTTCGAACGCTGCCGGCTCCACTTCGCACTCGGCCGTCCTTGACGTTAACGGTACAAAAAACAGTGGGAAATCGTGCTGCTGCTAGTGACGTGGAAGCACTTGTTCGGGACAAGAGTTTTTCCCCTTGGAACACTTGGACAGCCAATCACAGTCCAGTCCACTTCCAGATCCCTCGAGTCCCTTCGAAGTCTTTCTCCAATTTCCAATTTCCAATTTCCGATTTCCGATTTACCCCCAAGACCCCCGCACCGGGCATCTCTTTTTATACTACTTCAAGTCTGCTTGTGACAGTTGCTCCGCAGATTCTCCCGTTAATGTTCGCCGAAGATTTCGTAAACGCCGGAGACATGGTGACTATTCAGTGCAGCGTAGCCAAGGGCGATCTTCCAATTCGAATAAGTTGGACCTTGAACGATCTGCCTCTGGACCCGAGCGATCCGATGATAAGCGCGAAGATGTTTAACATCAGGACAGGAATGTTGACGGTAGAGACGGCGAGTGGACGGCACGCCGGGAAATACACGTGTCATGCGACTAACCGGGCAGGAGCAGCAAGCAGGTCCGCGAGTCTCGCAGTTAATGGTACGGAACCACTCGAAGCATCGAGTGCCGGCGGAATAACGAACGGAACCAGCGGAACCAGTGGAACGAGCGGAATGCACGTTCCTCTCGGTTCACCACGTATCGAATTGTCTCTTCGTTCTATAATGTGTATTGCAGTTGAGTGCTTCTTTTTCTTATCGAGGGTCTTCCCATGTTATTTCATTTTCTTTTTTTAATCACCGATCTCTTTCATCCCCTTTTAGGCGCGCTTTAATTCAGACGGCTAGACGTCCTCGGTCATTCGGTTCCGGTCTTGAGCTAATATATTTTCTCGTCGATGCAAACACCCCTATGTATTTCCAGCAACCTGTACTTTTACTCATGAGCCTCTATGCCAACTTTTTCCCAATGAAATCTCCAAGAGACGATCCGAGCGAAGGACAGATCGACGACGCACGTCGCGCACAGCTTCCCATGTCGCAATGAAATCCACCTCCGAGCGAATTGTCTCTGATCGTTGATCGCGCCATTCCGCTTCCCTCGTCAGTCGCGCCGCTCATCGCGCCCTTCCTCGTCCCGAGTGACGTCAACGAGGCCGAGAACGTTCAGCTGATCTGCAACGTGGCCAAGGGCGATCTTCCTCTCGCGATCTCATGGAGCCTCGACGGCGAGGACCTGGCCAGCTCGGCCAATGGGATCACTGGGATCACTGGGATCACTGGGATCACTGGGATCACAATCACCAAGATCGGCAGTAGCACGAGCTTACTGAGCATCGGATCGGCGGCGAGGACGCACTCTGGAAATTACACGTGCGTCACGAAGAACGCGGCGGGGACGGCCGCTCTGACTCTCACGGTCAGCGTCAATGGTAGAGACTATCGCTATAGAGGAGTCGAATATGAGTCGAATGTCAGATACGGTATCAAATAATGAAATTCTGAAATACTGAAATACGGAGAACTCGAAGGAGACGTCAGTCCGTAATGATGATCGGTACTAAGAAAGTCACTAAAAACTACTAACGATCACGATGGCTAACAGTTTTCATTCTTCCGTACTCACACACAGGCGTGCTCATCAGTCTTTATGGAATTTCATTAACAATCTGCAGGACGTCGTCCGCGCGCAAAGGCGTCGCGCAATGCGTCGCGACGCCCGTTCCTTCAGCATATACCGCCTACTCGTCCGCATAGTCTAATCTGCACTATACGTCTCTATACACGTTATTATAGCTCTCTTGTCGGAATCTGCCGATTCGACAAGCTCAAGATCTGACCTGGCCTGCAGTGAGAGATACGCTCTTATCTTTTTCCAGTAATCCCAAAGTTGTTGCCATTCTCCTTTGGCGAGAAGCCACTTAATTCCGGTCAAGTAGTGACCGCTCCGTGCGCAGTGGTCGAAGGCGATCAACCCTTGAAGCTCCGTTGGACCTTGAACGGTCACGCGATCTCGCCGCATTCTGGAGTTTCGATTTTGGATCTCGGCGGACGTGGCGCCATACTGAGCATAGGAAGCGTCCAGGCGGCGCACGCTGGAACTTACACGTGTATCGCGGAAAACTTTGCCGGCAGACACGAGCTGTCCGCGGATCTTATCGTAAACGGTGTATATTTATCAGAATCGAAGTAAGATCGGAGGAAATCGGGGTTCGAGTCTGGATAATCCTTGCAAGCCTGTTGTAACGGTTGACAACGTAGCACGGTATCGCTTATAATACCTATAGTCTCTGCCTTGAACGACCTACCTTCACCCATTGAACCTCGACCTGAGCTGCATCCGCAACGTCCGCAAGATCCGCCTACCGTCCTCGGGTCTCTCCCTCCGGACGACCCTTCCTCCTTGCCCCGACCCGCCGCTGATCCTTGCAGCCGCGACGTTCCAAGCTCACGGCAGTCGGTTCAGCCGATCTTAAGACTGACCGATGATAGATAAAATTTGGAAATTTGGAAATTTGGAAAATTGGAAAATTGGAAAATTGAAAAAATTCTCAATCTCTTCTCGACCGGTCTCGCAGATTGAGTTGTTTGTCTTGCTGTCCCCAGTCGCCCCACATCTGCAGCCCTTCTCGTTCAACGAGATGAACTCTGGCGATCTGATAATCGTTCATTGCGCGGTCGTCAAGGGGGACTCGCCGATCTCCCTCAAGTGGTTATTCGAAGGACGTCATTTAGAAGTAGGCGACGGAGTGCGAATCACTGCGATGGGAGACCGAGTCTCCGCGCTCACGATACCGGCAGTCAGAGGCGAACATGCCGGCGAGTACGCATGCGTCGCCGACAATCCGGCCGGACGCGCCCGGCACAGCGCTCATCTCAAAATCAACGGTACTCGCTTCCAGACACGCAGGCCTACCAACCTGAACGGTCCTTTTTCGTCTCTCTCTCTATCTCTCTCTATCTCTATCTCTCTATCTCTCTATCCCTCTATCTATAGTGTCTCTATATCGTCGCTGGGTATTCCTGCTGCATCGCAACCTGCGTATCATTGCGTATTATTCTCTGTCTGCCCGATCGTAATATCGCCGTTATCTTCCCGATCCCAAAATTCAACGGTAGAAAGTTCTCTTGAGCGGATCTGCCTGTAACTCGGCGTACTTGTGTCCATTCTTACGTTCGGAGCATCGATCCACGAAATCGCATAGATAACTGTGTAGTTTAGTTATGGTCAATTGGCTAAAGCTCTGACAACCGAAACTTTTTAGTAGCTTGGAACGTCCCACTGTCTCTCTCCAACCCTTGTCACTCTTCATCCCCCCTGGACCTCTCTCTTTCTTTTCTTTTGGCTTTTCAACAAACTCGCGCCAGCGTTTCTCGATTACTTGTTCCTGCAAGGAGTCGAGGAAAAGGACGATCGGTTTTACAGGACGTGTCTTAGGCCGATTTCGTAGTCCTGTAGGAAGAAACGAAGGTAGTAAGGTAGGTAGAGATGTAGAGAGACGTGAATGATTTACGAGCCGTGAACCATTGAGGATTTGGTCAGCAGCGAAAATCCTTAAGGGAAAAATAAAAAAAAAAAAAAATACAAAATAAAAAAAAGATAAGAAAGGATATTTTCTCTGTCTGTGAAGAATTACTCGGTACGTTACAGTCCTACCACTCATCAGTCCGTTCGATTTTGGGGATCGACCGATCTATTCCGGACAAGCCGCTCAATTAGCGTGTATGGTGCCACTCGGGGATACGCCGATAGAGATCGGATGGATGTTTAATGGGAAGCCATTGTCGCAATTGATGGGATACAGCGTCGGGAAGCTAGGACCACGAACGAGTATACTGTTGATCGAGCCGGTGACTCCCGAGCACGGCGGAAGTTACGCGTGTATCGCTAGTAATCCTTCGGGAAAAACGGTTCACGAAGCCATCTTGCAAGTACACGGTTAGACGAGACATCCAGATGAATGACTTGAGGCCGAATGAAGAATTGAGACACGATACTTGTTCCAACTTTCATGCTTTTCGTGCATTTTTATGTATTCGATATACAGATTCTCTCTCTCTCTCTCTCTCTCTCTCTCTCTCTCTCTCTCTCTTTTCTTCCTGTTTCTTTCTTTCTTCATTTTCTTTCTCCCTCTCTCTCGCTCTGTGTGTATACTTTACCATAACGAAAGACGTATAATGGTGTCGCTTTATTGGATTGCGTGAAAGTACAAAAGTTTTGAAGCTGAAGATTGACGTAGCTTTCCCTGTCGCAGGGCTACGCACACGTAATACACACACGCTAGTTCTATCTCTGTCTGTCGACTGTCTATTCGTTCTGACCTTAATTTCATAATTTTCTGCTTAGAGAGTTTTGCGAGTGCAAAGTGCCAGGCGGCCATTGATTATTGGAAAGAGCTTAATCGTCCTAGGCTTAATAGGAATCCGAGTATCGGCCGTATATACACTAGTTTACATGCTCTTGAGATAATGAATTTGCAGCTTGGTCGAGCCGTATCACTGATAGTTCTATTTTTCTTTTTTCCCTTTTTCTTCTTTTCCTTTTTTTTTCTTCTTTTTTTTTTCTTCTTTCCCTTCTGTTCTTCGTTCGACTCTACTCGATTTGACGCGCACGATACACGCTGCTCCGTTGCTGAATATTTTTCTGCCGTATCTGTCGGCGTCGTTTTAACTCGATTACGTCGCCGAACGCAGCCAGCAGCTTCGTGTCTGCCTGTTACGTACGCACGTACGCACGAACGCGTACGCATGCAGGTATACATATACTAGATATATATATATATGCGCGTATAGCACGTACGTCGTGCCTGTTTTGTTGATCGGAACGTTGCTCGGAATTCGACAAGGAATCGTCATCTCCGTTGCACCATTTCAGATTAATTATAGCGATGTCCGAGGAGGCAGCACTTGTCCCGATCCCGAGGAACCCGTCCGATTCCCGTGCGTGCTGTCGCTTTTTGTCAAAGACCGTAAATACATTGAATATGGTTGTGTATCCGAGGATAGGCTTTTTCCGGGATGCGCTTCTTGCCGTTTAACGTCCGGAATCCTTCCACTTCCCTTCCCAGACCTGATCGACCTTCCGCCTCTCACCTTTTCATTTTGTATCATCATGCATGAGCTCCAGACACTGGGAGAGTGGCGTGGCACAGCACGAGGCCACGTTTACTATACTTTTTCTTTCGTTCATTCGTTAGGCCCCGTACGGGCTGACCGGGCACTCTGCTCGGTCGTAGCTGATGACTTCATGATAATCATCACCAGTAGTCAATGTGTAACGAGTGAGTTCTTTCGTCATGCACGCGACGCGAGACGCCCCGTCGCTCCTCGACGTATCGTTCGGCCGCAGGATTCGCTTCTCTCTCTCTCTCTCTCTCTCTCTCTCTCGCGCTCATATGATTGTCCAGAGACGAGGTGTTTTTAAAAAATGTTCGTATTCCAGTCGGTCGAAGGATTCGAGGCTACTTCGTGATCCTCGAGTTGACGAAGTAGAACGCGGGCCACGGGGTAGCTCACTCAGTAGATCCCTTGTTAGTAGAAATTAAGTATTTGGGACTGACTCAATTTATTCTGCAGTGCCTCCCCGCTGGATACTCGAGCCCACTGACAAAGCTTTTGCTCAGGGCTCCGACGCACGAGTCGAGTGCAAAGCCGACGGCTTCCCCAAGCCCCAGGTCACATGGAAGAGGGCTGCTGGTAAGATCCGTTTATTTCTTTCGGAGGGGTTTCACGGGTTTGACGTTTCTGATTATGACGAATGTTTTTTTTTTTTTTTCTTTTTTTTCTAGGGGATACGCCTGGCGATTACAATGACTTGAAATTGAGCAATCCTGATATCAGTGTCGAAGATGGCACTCTTTCCATTAACAATATTCAAAAGACAAACGAGGGATACTATCTGTGCGAAGCTGTCAATGGAATTGGCTCTGGACTATCGGCTGTTATACTTATCTCTGTGCAAGGTAGGTTCAATAATTGCGTCGACAGTTACCAATTAAGTAATTACACTGGAGGAAGGAGGATCCACGTAACGAGCATCAGTAATTCGTACCTTTCAGCTCCTCCTCACTTTGAAATCAAACTGCGCAACCAAACGGCCCGTCGTGGAGAACCTGCCGTGCTGCAGTGCGAGGCTCAAGGCGAAAAACCAATTGGCATTTTGTGGAACATGAACAACAAGAGGCTGGACACGAAGAGCGATTCGCGTTACACGATTCGCGAGGAAATTCTGGCCAATGGAGTGCTGTCCGACTTGAGCATCAAGAGAACCGAGAGATCTGACTCCGCACTGTTTACCTGCGTTGCCACCAATGCTTTTGGCAGTGACGATACCAGTATCAATATGATTGTACAAGGTCTGTACTTCTTACTCTAGTAGAATAAATATCAAGGCGGAAATACAAGGAACAGTAAAGTCATTGTCTATTGTGAAATTTTACAGAGGTTCCGGAAGTGCCGTATGGTCTCAAAGTGTTGGACAAGTCTGGTCGTTCGGTTCAGCTTTCCTGGGCAGCACCCTACGATGGAAACAGCCCCATTAAGCGATACGTCGTTGAGTACAAGATGAGCAAAGGATCCTGGGAAACCGATATCGATAGAGTCCTTGTGCCAGGATCGCAACAGAATGTCGCCGGCGTTTTCAATCTCAGACCCGCCACTACGTATCATCTGAGGATCGTTGCTGAAAATGAGATTGGTATTTCTGAACCATCCGATACCGTTACTATCATCACGGCTGAGGAAGCTCCCTCGGGACCCCCCAGCTCCGTCAGAGTCGACGCACTCGATCAGCACACTCTTAAGGTACATTGATGCTCCGGAGATTGGAAGTCGGGTGGTTGTTGCGATAGGTGCGATGTCTAACTTATGATCTTTGGCTGATTTCATAGGTCACCTGGAAACCACCCCCGCGTGAAGATTGGAATGGCGAAATATTGGGTTACTACGTTGGATACAGGCTGTCGTCTTCCGAGAAACCTTACATGTTCGAAACTGTCGAATTCTCCAAGGAAGACGGAAAGGAGCATCATCTCCAGATCATGAATCTCAAAACCTACACTCAGTACAGCGTAGTTGTACAGGCATTCAACAAAGTTGGGTCCGGACCTATGAGCGAAGAGCGAAGACAACACACAGCTGAAGGAGTACCTGAACAGCCTCCTCATGACACGACTTGCACGACCCTCACGTCTCAGACCGTTCGCGTCTCATGGGTATCGCCTCCTCTTAGTGCCGCAAATGGTGTCATTACCGGTTACAAGGTAAAATTGTCTTATCAAATTGTCTACCATGATCTTACTAAAAGTCTCAATGTCATAATCAATTCTCGGTAACTTCTCCGCAGGTTATCTATGGACCATCCGAGGCCTGGTACGATGAAAACTCTAAGGATACTAAGATAACGTCTTCCAGCGAAACTATCCTGCACGGCCTAAAGAAGTACACCAACTACAGCATGCAAGTATTGGCCTTCACGTCCGGCGGCGATGGAGTCAAATCCGCGCCCATTCACTGCCAAACTGAACAAGATGGTAAGTGTTATGCGAAGATTTATAATGTGGACAAAGTATGTAAACTTCGTTTCGTTATAGTTCCTGACGCTCCAGTCGCCATCAAAGCCCTGGTCATGTCGCCGGAATCGATTTTGGTCTCGTGGCGTCCACCGAGTCAACCTAACGGCGTTATTTCCCAATATACTGTCTACACCAAGCCGGAAAATGCGGATGAACCCACCAGTCAGAAAGTACCTCCCAATCAATTGACTCACGAAGCATCTGGATTGGACAAGCAGTACAGATACGATTTCTGGGTGACCGCGAGCACTAATATCGGCGAAGGAGAGGCCTCCGATATTGTTCCGCTGTCTCCGAGTGTTCGCGGTAGGTGTAACGTTTTAATGTAATCGAATGGAGCGTAAAAAAAATGCACTCGTTCCTCGACTTTACAGTTCCTGCCAAGATTGCATCGTTCGACGACAAATTCACTGCAACCTATAAAGAGGACGTAAAGCTGCCCTGTCTCGCCGTTGGTGTCCCTGCCCCCGAAGTTACATGGAAGGTCAGAGGTGCGGTTCTGCAGTCCAACGACAGACTGAGACAGCTGCCTGAAGGATCATTGTTCATTAAGGAAGTCGACAGAGCCGATGCAGGAGAATACTCGTGCTACGTCGAGAACTCATTTGGACACGATACCGTTAGTCATCAGTTGGTCGTTCACGGTAGGTGGTAAAGAGACAATTTAAAATACCATCCTTCCAGAAAGAATATGAAAACATCGTACGATTGTACTTTACAGCGCCGCCCCACTCGCCCCAAGTTACCATCACGGCAACGACAACCAATTCATTGACCATGAAGCTCAGACCTCACCCAACCGACAACGCACCCCTCCACGGATACACCATCCACTACAAGCTCGAATTTGGTGATTGGGAAACTGTTCAAGTCAGCTCGACAGCTTCGAAATACACGCTGGAGAATCTCTGGTGTGGTTCTCGTTATCAGATTTATGTGACTGCTTACAACGGCATCGGCACCGGTGATCCTTCTGAAATTATGAAAACGCGCACCAAGGGCTCCAAACCAATCATCCCCGAAGCAGGACGATTCATTGAAGTCTCAACGAACATCATCACCCTTCATCTGAGCGCCTGGTCCGATGGTGGCTGTCCCATGCTCTACTTCGTCGTCGAGCACAAGAAAAAGTAACGCCGTCTATTCAGGCCGATGGGCCTGAAGCTACTTTTGAATCCAGCAAAGATCCTAACGCATCGTATCGATTTCCAGACAGCAGCAGGAATGGATTCAGGTATCGAACAACGTGAAACCCGGTGGTGACTTCGACGTCCGCAACCTGGAACCCGCAAACTGGTATCACCTCCGCGTAACTGCTCACAACAATGCCGGATTCGCCGTGGCCGAGTATGAATTTGCGACTCTCACCGTTACCGGAGGTAAACTATAGATAAGCTATTACCTTCTGTTGGCACGTTAAGCCGGTGCTTATGGTGACTGGATACAGTAGAGGAAGTAGGACAAAAAAGAAATACGAAGAGCAGAGAAATGATGATTTTTTTTTTTCTTCTAAATTCCAGGCACCATTGCACCGGCTCGCGAGTTACCGGACGTCAACGGCGGTGGCATCGACGAGGATCCCATAAAGATGCTTATGGCTAATTTAAATTTGGTCGTACCCGTGGTCGCTGCCATCCTCGTTATAATCGTCGCGGTGATCGTGATTTGTGTGCTGCGCGGAAAGGGACACACTGGTGACAAAGGTCTGTAAAATTGGTATCTTCCATTCTTTTGTTCTGCAGGAACAATCGCACCGCCCGTTCGCAGCGGGGGCACCGAGAACACCGACGTAAGGCGTTATTTCCCGTGGCTTCCGGCTTGGCTCGACGTAAATGTCGTGGTGCCGGTCGGAGCCACCATCGTCGTCATAATAGTAGGCATTGTCGTAATTTGCGTGGCGCTTTCGCGAAGGACTCGAGGCCCGGAACAAACGCGGCTGAGAGGTATCTCATCAGCCGACGAGAAATATTACGAGGGACAATGTATACAATTTTTTTATTATTATTCATTGCAATTGACGACGGAGATCGAGAAGACAATGTTGCCCTCGACGTCCACTCGTCGCCTGGACTCTCTTTGTCACGCAAAAGGAAGCAATTGTTTTCTCGATGTCCGGTCGCATCCAACCTCTCCGATGGCGTCGTTGCACGTGCATAACGACTATCTCCAAAGATCTTCTTCGTGATTTTCTAATACTCAATTTCCTTGTAGATGACGTCGTCTATCAGCAGTCTGGTGTCGTGGGTGCCACGCTAGATAAACGCAGGCCCGATCTCCGGGACGAACTCGGCTACATCGCACCGCCGAACCGCAAACTCCCGCCGGTCCCAGGCTCCAACTACAACACTTGCGACCGTATCAAGCGAGGTACAGTGATAAGTAAGCCATAACTGCCAACACTTTCATTCCTAGTTCCTATTTTACGACTCTGATCGTCTTGATGTTGTCGCATCGGCACGATATTACGTCACAGTTAACCTCCTCCATACGCTCTGCGGTATTATATACATATTTGTTCATGGGCGCATGCACATCGGCCTTATTTGTTATTATCTATCTTTTTTTTTCTCTTTCCCTTATTTTGAATTTTTCGTCCACTATGATTCACTTAGGAGCTTCAAATATCATACGTCACACAAAGAGATTTATTCTCGCAATCACCCCCACAATGAGATGCAGCTGGTGCACTGTCAGTTCCCTTCGCGCTTACAGTACTGGGCGTACCAAGCTAAGCTAACGTCGGGAATTCTATTAAATGTAGTTGGGAAAAAAAAAAAAAAAAGGAAAAAAAGGAAAAAGAAAAAGAAAAGCAGAGATTCGAACGAGGAAACCGAATCTCGGTTCGCTGAAAGTGCTTGGTAGGCGACAGTGGGTAGAAGATCTTTGCAGCATTTGTTCGATAGGTGGGACAGGCTCGCTAAGGAGTCACTCCACGTGGGACCCCAGGAGACACATGTACGAGGAATTGAGTCATTGTGCTCCAAACAGAAGGTGCCCACCGCCACCACCACGTATGGGAAGTGCCGAAGGTCTGTCGCACAGAGGTTGGTAGATAAGAAGATCAGTACTACGATTATTGCGTGAGCGCGACGTTCACCAAAGTTCGATCGGTGACGAAGAGACGTCATAATGAAAATTGAGCGAACAGTGAATTTGGTGAACGTCGTGCATGTTGAAAGGTGATTGAGAAAATGCCTTTGAAAGAAAGAAAGAAAGAAAGAAAGAAAGAAAGAAATGTCGCTGAAAGAAATGTCGGAGCTAGTGTGCACAACGTCGTGACTTCGTAAGTCCTTCCTCCTCCTCTGATTAAACGTTTTTAGCCCTTAAACTGATAATTTAAATGTTGCACGTTCGCATGTATCCTTCGATTAAGGAAATATCGCTGTCGCCACGTTACATAACCCAACCCAACCTACGTTAGACATTTCGACATTATTTCGTTCATTTTATTTTCGATTTCATTAATTTCGAGACTTCAACACCGCTATAGCTATAGCTGCATGGGGCACGATCGCAAATAGCTTAGCTAAAGAGACGGAACCCGTTCGGGCACTCGAACCGCCCGCAAGTAACGCAGCGGCAGTATCTACCCTTGGCGCTTCCTCGTTTCAGGCATGGAGGATGAAATCTGCCCGTACGCGACCTTCCATCTTCTTGGATTCCGCGAGGAAATGGATCCTAGCAAAGCCATGCAGTTCCAGACCTTCCCCCATCCTGGAAATGGACATTCCGGCACCATGGGACCACCAGTCGGCCATCCTACGAACGTCTCGGCTCACAGTCGATCTGGATCCCAGTCAATGGTAAGCATCGGGAATTGAGAGGATCTATATTAGCGTTCTGGATCAACGAGGTAACTCTTTTCGATTACAATTTCTGCAGCCTCGTCAAAATGGCCGTTACTCCCGAGTTCCCTCGCAAGGCGGTGGACCACACAACATGTTCTCTCCGGAATACGACGATCCTGCCAATTGCGCTCCCGAGGAAGATCAATACGGATCGCAATACGGACAGTACGGAGCCCCGTACGATCATTATGGATCCCGAGGATCTGTCGGGCGCCGTAGCGTAGGATCTGCTCGCAATCTGCCAATGTCTGGATCTCCTGAACCGCCACCACCGCCACCCCGAAATCACGACCCGAACAACTCGAGCTTCAACGACAGCAAAGAGAGCAACGAGATCAGCGAAGCGGAATGTGATCGCGATCAGTTGGTCAATCGCAATTACGGCGGTCAGTACTGATTGGATGAGAAAAGTGCAGACACGATTGGAGAACAAGAGAGAGAGCGAGATATGTAGAGAGAAAGAGAGACAGAGAGAGAGAGAGAGAGAGAGAGAGAGAGAGAGAGAGAGAGAGAGAGAGAGAGAAGAGAGTGTCTGGCACGTTAAATTGCCAACCGTAATCCGGCAAAGTTCCCTAGAGCGGAGAGAAGACGCAGCAGCACGAATCTCGATGCTGTATCGAATCTTGCCGGAGTCTCGGTGGTGCAGCGCAGCATGCTAAACCGCAGGAATGGCGCGCATCTCTCAGGTGTCCGAACACAGTTAGAGATTCGCGCTGGTCCCTTAAATGTCTTTTAGCTTTCGGAGCATGTTACGTGTCGTAGTTACCGTTGTGTCAATCGGCCCGTGTGTTTTTCTATTTCAGTGAATGCTCGCGGCAAGGATGGCATGACCACCGAGGAGACTCGCAAACTCATTGAGAGGTCAGTAGTAGCGCGAGGGTCAATGAAATCGGATAATCATTCTCAAGCCGAGCACTGTCACTTACACCGACAACCTCTGTACCTAATGATATCGCGTCTAATCAGAATGTAGCTACCCCTTTCTTTTATACGGAATTACGAAAATACGTTGTTGCGCGCTCTGATAACGATCGACCATCAGCAAACGTATCTGATTCGATGAAATCGGTTCGAGCCTGTGAGAATGAGTGCATGATAGACCTACGAGTGCCACCGGAAATCCTTATAATCTCTAACGTACTCCGACCTTCTCTTGTTACATGACTCTTTGTGCAGGAAACCGTAAGTCCACTGCTTCTTAACACGAGGTGCCTTCCGATCGATTCCTTTGTCGGCGGTTCGACTATAACGTCATCGGTTCCTATCGTATCTACAATCCTCATCGGATTGAACTTTCGATCGGAATGCACTCATCCGAATGTTGGTTTCTTTAACCGCGCTGCTAGAACGCGTGACTAACGCGCCACGACCATCACTGCATGCCATTCCTCAATCGTAAAGTTCTTTTTAATCGCATTGTGCCTGTATATAGACACCCGTACTATTATCATCTATACCATTGAAATCATCGTCTCACTGTCACCATCGCTCTGCTTGATACTAATACTGGCCTGAATACCAGATAAATCCTTTGAATAATCCACTTACCTATTACTTTTGTTCTTAACAACATGTAGTTCTTTAGGAGTTCACTAATTTTAATCGTTCGGTGCACGAGAGTAAATTCTCGAATGTTCTGAGCTCCAAAGGGTTCTTGTTGGTTCGAAGCTTTTGTAAATTAAAAGATTGCTGTTGAGCAAAGTTGACTGAGGGTCCATTGCAACAATTGAATATTCATTGATGCGCAGCTCCAGACTGCAGGCGACGCGCCTCGGTCGGCTCAAAGTTCTCTTGGTGCTTAAAACAGCAGTTTCGGCCAGATCAAAATGTGGAAATGCATAGCTGCGCCTGCACGCGTCTATCTGTTGTCCAATGAGGCCACGAGGGCAAGAATGACATACGTATATGTATATTACAATCGGAAGGATTAAAATGAAAGTGAAGCTGGACGCGCGCAGGGGTAGCTATGGCAAAGCTATATTAAATTACAGAATCCAAAGACCTGCGGCTCCTCAGCTCCTCCGCCTCATCACGATCATCGTCAACGAATCCAGTCGAACTGAAATTTAAATGAATCTTGCTGTTGCAGAAACGAAGCTCCCGGCCGGCAAATCGGCCCCAATCCCGGCGGTCACGGGGGACTCCTCACACCCTACGATACTGTGGCAGTGTAACCTGTAAATCCTCACGAGAAGCGCGCGGCAAGTCCCGTCTAGTGGGACTTTGGCCACGGCCACTTTCACCCTAACGGTGTCGTCAGTCCAATTGCAACGATTTTAAAATTATGTGCCACCAAGGCTAGGTAGATTCGGCTATTGCGTAAGCTTCGAATTATCCTGTAATCTAAAAGTTTATCGATAAGACGATTTAAGGCGAGAACTTCCCTTTCTGTTTTTTTTTCTTTTTTTTTCGATCAGAACCCCGTTCGAAGAAGCGAAATTGGAAAACAGTAACGAAATTTTGAAAAAATGCGACTGGACCCGAGTAAAACGAAGAAAGTCGTCAGAGTCTCGCAAATCTTGGATTATAAATTTGTCGCTTTTTTTTTTTGTGTTGATTGGAATCGCGATTGCGCGAAAGACTCGTATCGTATGCGCGTACGTGCGATAACGAAATTAGGTTACTCGTTTGTTAAGTCGAGGTTGTGCCACACTGCCAGTCCCTGGCAAGCGATTTATAATTTTGTAACGAAGGTTGTGTCTCCGATGATCGATATAATTAACGTAGCCAAGCCGCACGGAAGGACGCGACGTGTTCGCGTGGGACTTTACTGCGTTTTAATTATTATTGCCATTGAATTTCAATCCACTATCCACAGAATGTCCTGTCGCTTCTTTAAAGCACACATGTCTTATCTATTTCACATTGAAAGAATCCATCCTGCTATTGGAGAAGAACCTACTGCTAACTAGTTCCATAGTACGACTGCTAGCACCATCATTTTGTCAGTACCGCTACCACCACTACTATTACTATTACTATTCCTACTACTACTAAATATTAACACTAACGCTAATACTACTAGTACTATCGATAATTGTCCTATTTAATCTGCAACCTATACCCGATATCGATACGGTATAAAGTTAATGGTAATTTGACGATGATATTACAAGCATAAGTGATTAATTAATGAATTAACAGATAAAATTAGATAGGACTTAAGGAGGACGAAGATATCGTCACGAGAGAGTGTTGTCCATGACCTTGGAAGAATATACAGTTCAGTTTGTGAACGATTATTTAAGGGAAACACGCGAAAGAGTGAAAAGGAGGAAAACTAGCTGTCATTAGAAGCACTCGGGACAACGCGTCTCTCATAGATCGTTTTTATCATAATGATACTATTCCTAGATAAGTATCGTAGGTGTCACGTTCACTTCTGTCTGGGACTTGGGACGGCGCGCGGTATACCTTTAACAGCTCGAACTCGAGGCGATTCGTATTATCGTCGCAGGGTCCTCATTTCGCGGACCAACGAAATAAAGAAAATCTCTTGGAGCTGCAAACCTCGGAATCTCCAAATTCCTTTGACGAGGCTAAGCAGGCGAACCTTTCTCGTCGCTCGAGTCCCGACAAGACGCACTTTACTCATCGATGTGATTTTAACGTCTGCGCAAGTTTTTCGTGTATCGTGTACGTGTTACGATTGTGCAAGAAGATATAGCTATATCCAAAACTATCTAGTACTACGAATTATCGACGCCGCCATTAAACATACGCAGAATCGAGCAGCTTCGATGCTTTGAAACGTGATGGATAAATCGACTAGGAATAATCGAAAGGGAAACAGAATCAGAAAGGAATTAGAATTTACCACTGAAACACTTGTACCGTTAGTACGTTTCCGTACGTTGTACCGAAGCAAGTTTCCTTAGTGGTGTCGTACGATAAATCAATAAGAAGTAAAGAATAACGGATAGATAAGCGAGATAGCGGATAAGGTGCAGTCAGTCAGTCAGAGTCGCGTAGCTTCTAGCTTATTGTTGTAGCTTTTGTTGCACTCGAGATCGGATGGAAGAACTGCGTGCGACTTTTTTTTGTTGCGAGTGTTTTTTTTTTTTTTTTTTTTTTTTTTAAATAATCGACACCAGTTCTCGACTGGTTTTGCACGCTGGCTCTTTGGTTCTTTTCTACGCTCGCTGTCAGAATATTCGACGTACCTTCTTCCCGTAGCCTGCGCGCCATCCTCTCTTTCCATTGCTTTGGTCGCTGATTCATGAAATATTAAGCCGCGTCACACGCGTCGAGTCCATGTCCTCTATCCTTCTCTCACCGCCGATTGAAAATCCGACATTACGACATCACTTACTTCTCACTTACAGTCTCTATCTTCTGTGCCACTATTTTACGTTTTTGTACCAAAGTTGTAGCGTCTAACTTTACGTTAAATAAATAATACGTAAACACATTTGTACGTTTAAACTTGATGCCTCAATTTTGGACTCATCTGTCGATGTCTGTCACAGTTTACCTGACAGTCTCTTGAATTCGACGAAGGCCTGTCGCCTCTTCGCTTCACGTCGGTCCACGAGCGAAGAATCGGAGTTTGGCCATAGTTGACAGAGTTGACAGTTCACGGTTAGGAGTTTCTCAGTGAGATACTCCGCCATATCAACCGCACCTGGAATATTTCTCGTAATACTTAGAGACTGCCGATACAAATTATGAATGTATGAGAATGCGATTCTCGTGAACGATGCTCGTTGATCTGTTCGGATGCGATGAACTTCGTGCAAGCAGGAACGGAAAATTATTAGGCTAGGAACTTGAAGGAGATTAGGCTTCCGTCAGGAGCTACTAGAGTTTAACTGGTAAAGGACGAAATGAAGGACGAATCTCGGTCACATGGATCGGAAGAGGATCCATCTCGAAAATGCTGCAGATCAAGTGGAATCGATGATGTCAGCAACAGAAGCAATTCCTCGGCGGAGGACGCGGACGTACCTCGTGCCACCTGCATTCCGTGCCCGAAGGATCAGCGAAAGCCGGGCAACCCGGGGAGCTTCGAGGAAATCCACAAAAAAGTGAAGGACCTGTACCCGCGACATTTCGAAGGCATCCGTCTGGTAGTCAACAAGATTCTGAGTAAGCACTTTCAGGTTAAGCATACGCTGACGATGAGCTCCGTCACTCCTGCCGGATACAAGTTTGGCGCCACCTATGCTGGCACCAAGAGGGTGGGAATGCACGAATCGTATCCTGTCGCAATTGGCGAAATCGCACCGAATGGCTCCATGACCGGAAGCTTCGTCCACACTCTGGGCTGCCGACTGCGACTCAAGTACTCGGCGCAAATCGACTCCCACCAAAAGTATAAAGCCTGCAGCTCGACCGCCGAATATCGCTCGGATGACTTCACGATATCGCTCACCCTGGCCAATCCGTCCTTCATAAAACGCCAAGGCACCGTCGTCCTCCACTTCCTTCAGTCAATTACCTCCCGGATTGCCCTCGGCGCCGAAGTCGCCTGTTTACGAGGCTCCTTGATTCCCGGCGGCCAGGAAACCATAATGTCCGGTGCCTTCAGATACAGTACGGGACGCACGACGCTCTCGGGGACGCTCGGCGAAGCTGGTCTTCATCTCTGTTATCATCAAAAGGCAAGTGAGCAGCTGCAACTCGGCGTGGAGCTCGAGACGAACATGAGAACCCACGAATCCGTTGCGACGATAGTCTATCGTGTGGACGTTGATTACGCCGATCTTGTCTTCCGTGGATATGTCAATTCCGAGACGACAGTGGCTGCTGTGCTTGAGAAAAAATTGTATCCTATCCCGGAGTCTTCTCTAGTTCTTAGCGCAATGCTCAATCACGCCAAGCAACAGTTTCGAGTTGGTATCGGCATCAATATTGGTTAAATCGTCGCTATCATTTGCTCTGTTTGTAATTGAATTCCCCTCCCCCTTATCTGTTTTCGTCAAATTGATTACGTACCCCCACCAACTTTCTCGTTTCTTGTGCCCTTGTCCTTCTTAAGTGAAAATACTTGTTCATTCTAAAAGGTAATTTCATTTTGATAGTAAGAAGTCTCCTTAAAATTTAACAATTTTACTCGACAGATAGATAAAGGTAATTATGAGTTTGCAGATACGCATACAGCCCTATAATATAAACTATACAAGAAGTGTCTAAATTTTTGATAATACGTTTATCAGAATGGTGAACGATATAGACACTTTAAGAAAGTTCGTCTTCGCATTAGTCTCTTTATAATTTAAAATATCACTCGTCTTCATTGGCAATTCGTTCGTCCATGTCGTCCCGCTCTTGTTGGAAATTCGTTTTCAGCTCATCGAAATTTAGCGGAATTTTTTCACTCAACAGACCATTGTCATCTGCATACCCGAGGATATCGCAGATCAACGGGGACTCGACGCCCAATATATATTCACAAGTCTTTGGCTCGAGTAGAAACAAGGATACGCTGGATGGTCCTCCGTTATTGTCGACACACTTTAATTTCACCTAAATTAAAAGCAAGAGTGAGTAAATAACGATAAGTCAACGCGGCGCGGATGCCACCAATCGATTGAATGCAGTTCACTTGGATTACCTCGGTTTGCCTGAGTTTTCCTGTTTTGTCACAAACACTGCCATCGCTGTAAAAGTGCGAAAGCTGCTTTCTCTGAGCGAGAGGCTTTGGCTTCTTGTGCGGATGAGCCTCTATCCACTTCAAATGTTTGTTCTTATCAAATTTTCCAAGATTCACGATGATCTTTGTCCCATCCCTCTCCACGTGATACTGAACTACGGATCGACCGTAGCAGAACTCGTATTTCCACCAACCGTTACCCTACATGTAACTCGATGAATGCATCGATCGTCAAGCGACAGAGCGGTATATGAACGCGATTACTTTTGCGTAATACTTACACCATTCAAGCAGTTCTTGCCACTTAGGAAACTCTGAACAGGGCCGATATCGTGTGGACTCGTGTCGCGGCTGCTGCCGTACTCTTCCACGGGCGAAGTTGACGTCTCTGTGTCTATCTCGACGTTACCGTTCCTCTCTATTACATCGACCGGATGTATCTCTACTCTGACGCGTGTCTCTCCATCCTGAAACATGGAGTACGTGGTAATACTTTCTTTGGTCAAAGGACTTTGTTTTATATATTGCTCCCATCGGGTATAGCACGCATCTTTAGAGATACGCAACGAGTAACGTACGATCAAGAAGACAACTGTCCTCACTGATTAACAAAACGATTTCAACTCAACGCTCAGTTTAATATTTTGACTTAGTTTTCTGTAACTTGTGGTATATTCTGTAATGGCGGTGAACATGCAGTTTTCATGTTTATACACACGATGGCGAGTATGTACACACCAGTATTACTTCTGTACTACTGGAGTGATACAGTGTTAATGATGAAAGCATAAGTGAATATGAAAGAGAAACTCATCCTACATGTCCCATTTCTACTTTTTCTTTTCGTATGGTATCCAGTGTGAACCATGTAATGTTTTATGAATATGGCAAATCAATGATGGTTAACTGAGCGAGTGGACCAAGAATTATATTTTAAGATTATTTAGTGATTAACGAGAAGTTAATGCATCATTCCCATGAATCATCAAGTTGAATAGACAGCGTGAAGCATGAGACCCGACGAACTAAAATTCATAATAGTCTGACCTGGCCCTCCTTATCTACATGGAAGATCGCATAGACTTTCTGCAGCTTCTCATCCTGCGCAACAAACAATCAGTACAATGCGTACACGTTAAAGAAATCAAAAATAAAGATAAAATCATATGTCAGGTGTGATTAATAAAAGTTATGTTTGGCACGATACAACTTTATCTTCAACCTTTAGGCTGCCGCATTTTCTTAAACTTTAAATTTTGAACGAACGGAACTCATACACATTGAACGAGACTTATCGCCCAATATTAAGCTACTACTCTCGCACCTAAATAAAGGCATCCGGCAACCTGAAGATTGAAATGTTTAGATAAAAAATCGTAAGTGCAAATATTCTACGTGGCATACTAAAATTTTCAAAGAAAATGCATAACAAAAAATAACACCCCACTTCGTAAGTGGTTTTACCGTCACTTTTTGATGACGAAGCTTTAAACTCTCGCTTTCCATGGCAATTAGGGATCGTGGTTTTTTCGGTGCGTTTCCAACAGGCCTGCAATTTATTTCATTCTCCCCAGTATCTTGCGGTCTATAATCTGGGTGACTGCAGAGCAGTGGCGACAGAACAACAGCCTCATATTCACAGCTTGACGTCTCCTCCAGTGAGAAAACATCGTGTTTACCATGCTGGTAACATACATACAGGACCCTGATGGTTCTTGGCTTCTCATTCAAATCACAGACTGTTCCGTCTGTCATTTCAATTTCCACATATGGCATATTGATTCCATCAACCTTTTTGAGAGGTATCTCAGACTTTCTATTTGGGTTTTTTGCTTGCTTATCATACTCTGCAGATAACTTAATTATCTGTGCTTTATCGAAGGTTCCAAGGTAATATTCTTGGACCTTAACCTTTTTACCCTCTCTCTCTTCATGATATTGGCGAACAAAGCGACCATGACACAACTCATATGTCCAATATGGTCCTAACTGTTAATAATATACAATGTTAAAAATGTTTATGTGCAATGAAAGAATATACGTAGCATTAATAACATACCCTATAGGAACATGTATTTTGTGTAAACAAATGGGACAAGATTTCAATTGGATTTGGTCCTACGTATGTTTCCCCATAATCACGATCTTGTTCCGTTAGGTCCGGAATTAAACATTGATAACGTTCGTTATTAGCTGTTGTTATAAAATACGGTTCGGCGTTTGTTTGCGATTCCTAAAAAATGTGAAAAAGAAATATTGATCAAAATTAAGGTAGATTTAATCGGAAAACGCAAAGAAATGATCGATATAATTATACATTTCTTGTATGATGAAAACATTAATTTAATCTTACCAACAAGTCGGCAGTGCTTTTACCAGGCCAATTTATTTTAAAGAGTACTGTATCATCAAAACCCTTCACATCGTGCCCTGAGCTCAAATTGATCGTGACACATAATGCAATATAGAAAACGTAAAAATACGAAATTCCAAAGAGCTTCCACATTTTTTAGTGTTTATTAAATTCATTACATATTTTAATAAAGATTTATCAACAATTCAGTTCGTAATTGCATTATAACCAACATCCACGTCTACAACGAAAGCAGGTTACCAAATGGCAGAAAAATGACAACATGCCATCAACAGGCCTGGCCACCATCGACGGTGATTCGATACGTATGATTCCGAGGAGATGCTGGCAGCCAAGAGAGTCAACCACAGACAGCCACGTATTACACAGCTGATCCCAGTAACATAGCCGGTAAGTAGACATTCTAGACATCAAAGATATAATGTGGTGGATGGTCATTTACCAAAGTATCGAGGCATGTAAGAATTATCGATGTTCAAACGCAAAGAAATTTCAAGTGGCAATTAAATTCACGATTAACGATCCTCTATTTTAATCTGGATAAATTTTTATTTTATACATATTTTATCGGAAAAAGTTAACTGGTTTTCTTAGACAGTTAAAGTTATATTGTTCTCGGTCTCGTTTTAAGGGTTGCTTTGAGAACCTCTGCACGCCAAGCTATACGTTCGTGTTTAGCTCGGCGAGTCCGGGAATAGAATTTTGTGATCATCGCCTCCGTCGATAATGCATATCCCGTCGTAGCCGAGCTGAACGTGATCACGAACGGGTAGCTTGGCGGGTAGAGATTCTCCACAACTTACAACTGATTCCCAGAGCAACCCTTAGAAAGAGGCCACTTATCAGATTTTGCCTAAATATTTTTTTTTGTAATCTTAAATTCAAATGTACAGTGTAAGCTCGATAAGATTTACTAAACCAAAAGCCAACACCTTATGCCTGCCTGTGTTAAGGAGTCCAGCGATGCGGTGCTAGCTTCCATCATTATTTAACAATAGTTCCAAGCGGAACTATGGTCCCAACATTGAGTACCAGAGAGAATTATTCCGGAACTGTTTGAAAAACAGCCTGAAAACAACACTGAAAGCCAGCTCCTTATGCATACCTACACTGAAGCACATGGTGCGACTAGTATCCTTAATAGGTATTTTAACGATGTTACGTAGCAGATCTGTTGTTAAAACCTATCTGGAACTATAGAACTCCTCGAGAGCTATTGAAAAAGCCTATTGTTGAATCATTTTCAAGAGATTTTAAAAAAGTGCAGTGCTGGAGCTGACACCCATGTAGCACCTCAATTTTTGGAAAATTCCTATTGTCGCGATGTTACGTAGCAGAACTATTATTAAAACCTATCAGGAACTATAGAAATTCTAGTTAAGTGCGTAGCATGTACAACGCTCAGACACCAATTTTTGAAGTTCTTCAAGAAAGTATCGTTTGTACCTCTTTCCAATCAGTCCCCTTCGAAAGAGTATAGTCTCTAGTATATCTCCACTGCGTTCCATCGTTTGTACCTTCATAGTTTTCTTTTACATTCAATATTAGTGCGTAGCAGGTACAGGGACTAGACACCAGTTTTGTGAGTTTTTCAAAACATTTATAGGTAGTATAGTTATAAGTTAAAGGTAGTATAGTTATAGATAGTAGAAAAAGTGTAATAATCCGTATGCGTGCGAGAGAGACGCACTTAGAGCCCTGCTGTGCTAATGAAACGTACGCTTTAGGAGCATTACAGGGTGCGTCAACGATATCCTGAAATGTGAAGAATTGCCGTGCACCGATCAGCCTGCATCGTCACTCGAGAGCATCGTTGACGAACTCTGTACGAGTTGTAATTGACAAACCTGTCGTAGGGGGGCATCACTTTTGCCAAGGAGTACTCGAGCGGGGGGAGGGGGTACACAGTGGTATACAAAGAATGTATTATTGGTGCAGAGGTCAGTCTTTCGAGAGCCGACCTCTTGGAAGCCGCGTTTTGCCGGTCTTCCATCCCCCTTCCCCTTTCCCCGCAAATACATCACAGTTGTGATACATTCATCGATTCTTTGTCTCTTTTGTTCATCTACATTCTAAGGTAATACTTGATTATCTAATTCTATCTCTATCTCTCTCTCTCTCTCTTTCTTTGTGTTACACATTATCCCAATTTCTTCCGCTGGGCTATACCTTCTTCGTGATATCACTTTGGTATCGCAGTAAACTCCGCAGCAAATATGCCAAGACGGTTTGAGCGGTGGGGAGTCATGGGTTGGCGTCGGCATCCCTTTCTGCGCTCTCTAGGGGAGCGGTCACGTCAATCTGCGTTCGCTTGTGCTACTCCACTTGGCGTATGGGACCTCAAATCCCGGTAACTTCTAATCACCCTCTGCAGGAAACACTTTGCGCGCTGATCTAGGAAAAAGTGTGACGTAGTGCGTCGCGAAACGTCTCTTTCTACACTCTTTATCTTTTACCTTTATTTACGAAAAAAAGTGTGACGTAGTGACTTGATACGTTTGAGTAAGTGCGTCGCGAATACATCTCTTTCCATCTGTGTTTCGCTACGGCATGGAAAGTTCTCGCTCGTGTAGTTCTCGCGTTTCTTTCGCGATATCCAAGAAATTCTATGGATTTCTCGAGCGTGTTCCGGACGTGTAGTGCTGTGACCTAGTGAAGTGCCCACCCGAGTGTTCTCTGGATACGGTTCTCGGCCTTCTCGGATTAGCTGCACCAGCTCCGGTGAGTACTCCCAATTTATTAATTATATAAGAACAATGTCAAAAGTCAAAGATAGCGTCACGTACAAGGAATCCCCGTTCTTGGATTCTGAAGATACGCGAAACTTCACCTTCGGCGGGCTGTATCGCGCAAACGGTTGGATCTACGGTTTTCTCGTTGAAATTTTTAAGGATCCCATAGCGCAGAAACTCAGAATGGTCCATAGAAGAGGCTGGCACAGATAGAATTGCCATAGGGCCACGCAGAACTATTGTTAAAACCTATCAGGAACTATAGAACTCCTCGACAACTTTTGAAAAAGCCGTCTCGTTCTAAGTGTTGCTTTGGGAACCAGCGATAAGTAGCGGAGTACTCTGCCCGCCAGGCTACCCGTTCGTGATCACGTTCAGCTCGGCTACGTTGGGATATGCATTATCAACGGAGGCGATGATCACAAAATTCTGTTCCCGGACTCGCCGCTACGATTTAGCGCCATGTTTTTGGTATCGCCTAAAACCGTAGCGTTGTGCATCTCCCTACTGATCTCTGCCGAAAATCGTAGCGTTGTGCATCTTCTTACTGATCTCTGGTGCATCTCCCTACTCATCTCTTCTTCTTACATTAATAAACACCAGGTGGATTGCGATTTAAATGGAATGAGAGCACATGATAGCACTGGAGAACACGTAATTTCCAAGGAGAATTGTGTTTAGTTATTTAGTAGTGTCCTACTTATCTGTGGTAGTATCACAAAAACCCAATCATGCTGTTTCGTTTCTGCAAATTATGTCAAAGAGTTGAACGCTCTGCAATTGTCTTACAAAGATTTAGAGTAAGTATGTTTAATTCTATTGAATCTTATTCTGATGAATTAAGTCAAATTTTCGCAGTCTACACAGACTCTGCAGAAGGAGGAGGATAATCATCAAGCTATGACATCTACTGAAGCAAAACAGGAGAACACTAGAATAATCACTTGCAAAAGAAGTGAATTCAATTTTTATTTGGGACAGACCTATTCAAAGTTTGAACCTATTCCATTAGCATCAAGAGGATGGCAACACAAAGAAGCCAGAGGAGATTATTTTGTCATACATCCCTTAATGGAGGCAAGAATTTCTTATATTATTGTTGGAATAAGACACTTTTATAACTTTAAACTTTTACATTGTTATGATACAGGAAATACCACTGAATGAAGATGTAACTTTTCAAAAACTCAAAATTGACCCTAGGCTTCTTAAAAAATTAGAAGAAAGCAATATAGCTTCTCCTACAGAGATTCAAAAACTTGCAATTCCTATTTTGGAAACTGGTTGCAATACATTAATATCTGCTGAAACTGGTTGTGGAAAAACATTAGCCTTTCTACTGCCATTAGTACAACAAATTCTACGATGGAAGAAGCTCATTGACAGAAAGCCAAATACTCCTCTAGGATTAATTATAACTCCTAGTAGAGAATTGGCGATGCAAATTGCAGTAAGTTATTGTTACTTGGCACTCGAGATAGTTTATTACAAACTTATTCTTAACTCGACATACATCTGTGTAGGCTCAAGTAACTACATTAACTAGAGGAATAGATTTTCGGAGTAAGTTATTAATTGGTGGTAGAACAAAAAAACTCATGCTAAATCCAAGTGTAACAGATGTAGACCTCTTGATATGCACATTGGGAGTTATGAGTAAATTATCTACCAATAATATCTACAAACTTCAGGCTGTTCGTCATGTGATTTTGGATGAAATGGATGCCTTGTTTGATGAAACTTTTGTCGAGAAACTAATACCCTTCATGCGCAGGATTCCTGTATGTAATAATCTGGATTAATATACTTCTTTTACCAATGAGAACTTGATATAAAAAGTCATGTAGCTTAATTCCAGTGGGCATGCAGATGATATCACTAAATACCCAGCATATTCACAGCTGACTTTAGTATCCGCTACGCTGCCTCCTGAAGTAATGGATGTGGTTGAGAAAATCGTGGATGTAAGAGAAGTACACAACAGTGGATATAGATATATGAAATTGACGATTGACATGCATTTTTATTAGCCCAATTCAATGCAACACGTAAGGACGGACAAGCTTCATAAGATTTTGGTGACGCAAAAGTTCAAACGCGTGGGCAAATCCCAAAAACCTCAGGAACTGCTAAAATTAGTGAAACAAAGGTCATCATGTAAGCAGCCGACCATTGTGTTCAGCAATGACAGTGCCACTTGTGATTGGATTAGCATATTCCTCAAGCAATTCAACGTTGACAATACCCATTTGAATGGTCGAATGCCGATGGTCATCAGAGAAGGAAAATTCGCTGAGTTTCAAAAAGGCATGACGCACGTTTTGTCTACGACCAATGCAGGAGCCAGAGGTCTCGACACTACATCAGTTACTCACATCATCAACTATGATTTCCCTTTGAATACCGTTGAATACATTCACAGGTAGTTATGAGAGCAATGTCAAGATATCCACAACTTGTCATGTCAAAATTAATGCTTACAGATGCGGGAGAACTGGGAGAATCGGAAGTCAGAATAACTGCAAAATCACAAATTTCATAGCAAGGCCCTTAGAAATAGCAGTCACTCAGAAAATCGAAAAGGCAGCTCGAAAGATGCTTCCTATACCCATCTGCGATTTGACGGGTACAGTTTTAGAGAAAAAGAAGCAAATACAGCCGGTACCACGACCAAGCCAAAAACGAATGAGAGCTGTTCAGCCGGAAAAGCCTGTTGAAAAGAAGAAAACAGTAGTAGTAGAAGATCCAAGTATCCCATATTGAACAAAATGAAGCGCCTTGTACAAAAAATGAAGTTATCACCGAAATAAAGGATATCATTCGCGGCTTATGAATTATTCGAGCTCTTTCGTCAAATTTCTGCTTTACAAGAAATGCAACTCAGGTTTTACGAGTAACCACTAGAAATCACATCGATGTAGGATGGACCCATTTGAAAATTAGGTACTTTAAATAAAGAATAAAAAAACTTCAATGATCGACAATGTAGTCAGCATCTATGCACTTTTGTTTTTTCGATATCCCTCCTTATCGTTTCGATTTCTGAATTCCTTGATCATATAGAATGAGGAAGGAAACACCAACCCACACGTGGTGCGTCCGTCCGGTGTAGCATCCCGTCGTGTCCGACGACACACCCACGCAAACCATATAGTAGTACTATGAGCAAGGGACAGTCAGCCCATAAGTCTAGACCAGTTTATTACGTGGTTCGTATTTTAATGAAATTAAAGGTGGACGCTCGAGTCCCGTGGCACAAGGTGTGCCGTGCGTATCTCGCGTACCTATACAGGGTGCCTCTATTATACGTTCAACAACATAATGATGCTAAAGCACACTCGGACGATCAGCATTCCCAAATGATAATTCACTTCCTAAGATTCCCTCTACCGCCTGGCTGCTTACTGGTGTCTTATACGCGTACTGGGCAATACTAGCATCTTGGCAATGAAGTAATTGCACGTGGCGGTTGACATTGTTTCTATTCCAGTACACCCAGTAGACAACAAACAGTGTTACATGCGTGACATAGAAAATGTGGTAACGAAGGGTTGGGTCGAGCTGGACGGCCAGTATCATGACAACGCGTTATTAACGAAGTCCGCCTGTGCATTATTGGTCAACAGTGCCAGACTTGTCAGCGTTCTGATTAAAATTGAACAGATCCAAGTTCCATTACTTGAATAGTTCCAAGTCCTGCCATAAAGAAGAGACGCTCGTCAAAGTCAGGAATCGCGAAACGATCGGAACAGTGGAAAGCCTTCCGGTGTGCATTTGCCAGAACCATTACTTCCTGTCGGAAACGCATTTCCATGACACTCGGGTGAAACGGTACCTTATACTGACGCGATGCGCAGTAAACACCAGCGATAATAACGATTCTAATTAGCGTGGGTAGCTGCGTGACATGTAGGGCACGGCCAATTCAAAACGGAGGAGTTCTTTACGTTCGCATAGAGCTACCTAGCGGGAGAAAATCTCAGATCCTATCGCTCCTAATGCCTTCTCACGTGCGTTCCTCCTCGCATTAGTTTGGAACCATAGACGAACTCCATTACAAACCGAATGTTTCTTCTTCTGATAGAGAAACTGCAGTACCGTTAAAAAAAGGAAAAATTCTTACTCCTATCGCACAGTGCACTAACTACATATTTGAGTAAGCGACATTTCGAGTGACAAACTGTTACACCTGAAGGCATTGTATTAATAGGGCGATGATGATGAAGAGGTGGAAGAGGAGAAGGGTGACGAGGAAGAGACGAGTAATTCTTTCTAAGCATCGAGTATCTCTTAGTTGCCGTTGGTGCTGGTCGTGCTGGTGGCCCGGAGCAGCCCGGAGAGAATAGTTTAGGCTGCCGAGGGGCACGTGTTACCCCCACGCCAGAAGCGCGAGTGGAGGGGGCGAGCCAGTCCGTCGTTTCAGGAGTAAAGCCAAGGCTCAGTAATATCGCGGAGCGCAACTTGTTGGCGTCTTTGGGTTTTCTCTCTTAGAAAATAGTGAGCAAGAGAGAATCGAAGAAGCAGAAGTGCGAGAAAGAGCAACAAACTAGATAAAGACAAGTAAAAGACGGGAAAAAAGTGTGATCGGGCATTGTTAGCCTTGTTTGTCGTGGCTGTACGTTCACGTGTGAATGTTTCTCTGCTTCTCGGATGGTCTAGTGCGGCAGGAGTGTGTCGAGTATAGTAAAGGTGCATCGAAGCGTACCCAACGAGCGATAGCTAAGTTTCACTGTGTTTGGAACAGCAATTCAGACGTGTATCGCAATCAAACGCAATGAGGAGAATCGCGAGAGAGCGAGGGAATAAAATATTTGGATTCCGGGTTAAACGGTAAGCGTTGTCCCAGTGAGAAGTAAACAGGAGGTGGGGACTCTCTCTCTCTCGCGTCTCGCCCACCGGTGACAGACCAACAGACCAACAGACCAACAGAGCAACAGAGCGTCGTGCGCGAACCGTGTCGTCGTGGCCAGGCTTATCATTCGAAGAGGAGGTGAGCGTCTCAACGTCGCGTCACACGTGAATCATTCTAGAGGTATCCGCTCGGAGATTCCCAGCGTGACAACCAGTGACGACGGCATTGTCTCCAGGTATTTTTCTGAGTGTCCTACTAAGAACGTTTTATGTGATTGACGACCGTAACGCGAGTGCTAACACGTCGTGGGAGGTGCTGACGCAAGCTCGACGGTTTTCGTGCTTGCCTGTGATTTCGTGTTTTGTTGGTGCTTTGGAGTGCTGTGTATCCGTGTCCCTGCGTGTTCCTACGCGTTTAAGTGCCTGCGCTCAGAGGTGGATACGTGTGTCGTCTCTCCGACGATCAAGTGTGAGTTCTCGTCATTTTACGAAGAAGAGTAATCCCGGAAGCCGCTATATTGGAGAGAAAGCGGGAAAGCGGCGTGCCGCTGTTCTGTGTGCCGCGGCAAAGACGCTCGTCTCAATCTGAAAAGGTAAGAAATTATTTTATTTTCTACCACTTGGTCTTCCTCCTGTCGAAGTAGACTCATTTGTCACTGGGCCCCTATGAATAACACTTAGGAGTATCGGTCTCCTATCTTCAGGAACATTGAGCTTTCGAGCCGGACAAGGCCGAGGCGTTTAATCTACAATGGTATTTTGATATTCTGGCGTGTCAGGCGTGGGCAGTTCCGCGTGGGTCGAAGGAAATCGTCCATCTCGCTGCCGAATAGTCTCTCCTCCTCACCTAAAACTCACGTGTCCCTCGGGATTGAATTCTTCCTTGACTTTCGGCCGAAGAAGGTCCGGCATGCCGCTACGAGAATGTGGAGAAAGAATCTTCGCTACCTCCCCCCTCGACATGTGGTCGTTCCTCGAGCGGAAAAGCGCCTCAGGAATTGAAATGAGCGACCTTCGACTAGTGTCGACTGTTCTTAAAGCCATTGTTGACTTCGCAACGCTTTAGGATTCGTGGCACGTCCCACCGTGTTCGTTATTACAATGATTTCCGGTCCTAAAAAGCAGCGTTGGTCCCAATGGCAACTCCTAGCGGAATTCTAGTGGAAATGTGTCGGTGCTGTAATATCGTCAATTGTATGTCAGGACGCAGCTGCGATGCCACGACTGCATGAGCACCCCTGGTGCATACCTGACTGCACGCACGCATCCTACTACTCGCTACCTTTTTATTATTTATCCGCGTTACGCGCGCCCAGTGCATTGACTCGCTGCATGCCATTGGTCACCCGCGTGAAGTTAGCCCTCCGATAATGACAATGACAGTTTGTGCTCTCCTCATCTTTTATGCGAATCCTGTCTTCATCCTGTATTCGTCATATAATCAAATATCTCTGCTTGAGATATAGTTGGCATCAATTTCTAACGAGATGAGAAAAAGGCTGCTCGAATTCCAGCGAGGTCGAAGCGGGGAGCCCGATCGAAGCCTCTACGCGCAGCAGACTCGATTACAGATCCCGCATCCCTCATCCTGTTGACGAGATAGATTTCTCACGTGCCACACCGGGACCTCCTACGAGGAGCCCACGACCTTTTTCGCGCTTCCGCTCGTACCTCCGCCTCGAGAATTACCGATGATGCGTAAGAATCGGGACCTAATTGGCAGTAGGCGCAATATGAGCCACTTCGACAACCGGCCAGAGCTAAACTCCCTGGATATATGGAGCGACTTGCTTCTCGCACTGGAGCTGTCGAGGAACTGCGGGCTTCGCTGGATACTCGGGACGCAGTTCGAATCTGTGGCAGGGATGAGCTGGCTGGAACATGGGAAGTGGATAGAGTCCGAGCAATGGCTTGGAAACGCGAAGACGGGCTCTCGCCCTCGTCCTGTTTCCCTCGCAAGACAATCTGCCTCGCGCAGGAGGAAGTCCATCGCAGCATTCAGGTTGATCGCTCGCTTCCTTTCTTCGAGCAGCTGAGCAGCAGGACGCGCCGAGATTAAGTCGCGGAGGCCCAATCGGTTCAACTCGCTTTGAGATATCAGTCCGCGTGCAAAGAAACACGCAAACAAGCAAACTGTTAGGCAAGCAAGAGGAGTGGACGCACGGACGGACAGCCGGGCAGCCGGGCAGCCGGGCGTGCGGGCAGGCAGAATAACTGGCAAGCAAGCGAGCGAGCAGGATGTAGCTTCTTTAAAGAGGAGAACGTAATTAATTGAAACCGGACGAGGCGATTGACCTCTTGAAACTGTCGGGACGCCGTTGTGCAACTGGAAAAACCTTTTGTATGCACAGGCGTTTCGTAGATTCACTTTCTCCTTTGTTAAGAAAATTCTCAAGGGTGCGCGCGAGGGTGGATTTCGACTGAAGAAGAAATTGAAGAATGCGCGTTGGCGGATTTTGTCGATATTCCAGGACACGCTTCTCTTGGCTACGGAATTAGGACATACGTCTTTCTAGCTTTGGAGCTCGGGTCGTCTTCTCACTCTGTTTCGCAATTTGCCCTTCTTGGTATTGCTTGGTATTTCATTGTTTATGCGCGAATGGGAAGCGCACAAAGAGAAGCAATACGGAAGAATCGCTGAGGTGTAGGGTGCCGCTAGCGTCGAAGGATCCTAACAGAAAGGAGTTGCCCGAATAAGAAAAGGGCAGTCTCTCGAGAGGGGTGCATATTTTGATCCGACTACGATATTCGGGGGTGGCTCCCATTCTGGCGCCGACGTCAATCTCAAATGTTCCCCCGGAGCCCGCGACCCTTTGGCAGCCCCCGAAGAAGGAGAATGGCGCGTGTTGTTTCAAAGAACTGCCTATTCCCAAACGGGATCCGGTCGATCCTGCAAGATAATCCTCCGCCCTTCGCCAATTCAGAATCGTAAATATGCCTAGAGCTGTAATTGAGCTTTCCCCCGAGCAAGGCGAACCAAGGAAAACGTAAGACGCTCGCGCGCGAGAGCGCAAGTCAAGGATACAGGCGGTTCTTATGGAAGACGGCGACGTTCACGGCCACTGGCGACTTGGCGAGGAAAAAGAAGGGTGGAGGGCTGTGGAGCAGGGATGAATTAATGTAGGCGATCACGCAACGAACTAGGAGCAGCGGATCGTGGGAATAGGGCGCGATTAGCTCGTTCGACTTTGCTTTTTCTCTGTCTCTCGAAACGAGCGATGCGCGCGCCCTCGTTCGGCGCCCGACGCGCAACGTCTCTTTCCCGTCTAACCGTCTAACCGCCTAACCGTCTAACCGTAAAGGCACAGAACCGTAGAGCCCCCAAGACTTCTTCTGCCTACTTATCATCCTCCCCGTAGGAAACGTCAGCCGGCACACCAGAGCCAAGACAGCCTGCAGGCCGCGTCCGAGCACCATTCTTCCCGTTCGTCCGTCCTGCCGATTCGAACGGTTTCTCGAAATCGGTTGGCGCGTTTCGCAATTGTCCCCGCGTTGTCCTCAGCGATCTCGCGCAATTGCGCCAGCCACATTGATCGACGGGCACATTGCGCGGGTGAACAATAGGAAGTCGATTTCGTTTCGGTTCTTACGCTTTTCTCCCTTCGTCGACGACGCTGCGATCGTCAAGATCTCAAGATCTTAAGAAGCGGTCATTGACCTCCGATTCCTCTATCGCTCTCTTCCTCCTGCGTCTTTGCAACCCTTCCCGTGTCCACGGCAGCGCACCTATAGGAGCCACCGAGCGAGCACGGGCACGAGTAGGCGACCGGAGCTCGTATTGGGTCAGTGGCGTTGTAGTATTCGCTTCTCGTGCGGAGGAGGAGCGAAGGCGGAGGGGAGGGGAGGGAAAACGATAGAAGACCAGAGAAGAGTGGGAGTAAGCGTGCAAGTGGGGAAAGGGGAAGGGAATTCTTGGCTTCCCTCCCGCGCCCTCGCTCTCCCTTCGCCTGACTTGGCTCGAGTCTCAAGAGTAACGGCATCTCGGAGCCAGTCCCTCCGTCCGCCACCGGTTCCTCCTTGATGTCTACAAACCTGCCTCTGAATACTACAAGTCTCTACGCACTCCTCGGGAAGCGAGAAGGGAGAATCTCATTCTCCTGCTTCTCCTTTCCTCCCCCTCGCGCTTCTCCGCAGCAGCTGGATCGGTTCCCTCTGTAGCAATATCTGTGTCGTAGGACGAGGACGATGACCAGGTTGTCTCCGGACGTTTGCGATATTTGCGTGTGCGACGAAAGCATTACGACGATTTGCCGATGCTCGAAGATCAATCGATATATCGATCCATCACGAGGAGGCCGTGAACCTGGTCCAGTAGGAGCGTAAGGCATTGCTGCTGCGCCAGTAATAAAATTCTATTTCGAGCAGTCTGTCGACAGCGTCACCGAAGACCAGGAGCTTCGGCCGCAGGGCTTCATAACGACTGCGACTCCTTCGGCGGGAAGGAGGATCCGCTCGCCGATCAGGAGGAACCAATGCTCAACGTAATGGACTCTGCTGACAGTCTTAAGGTCTTTCGGTGTCCAAAGCAAAGCCTTCGGCAGGCGCCGTTTCCAGAGAGTGTCCGATCTCAATCCCTGAATCACATCCGAAACAACGAAGTCGTAGGAGCGCCTGGATTACGCTCGGCCCGCTTCGATTCTGGGTCACGTATCGCGATACTCGTTCTACCTGAGCTCTCGCGTCGTGAGGTCTCCCAATGTGCCGTGTGCATGCGTGTGCACACGAGCAGCACACGAGCAGCACACGAGCGCACAGGGCGGCGCGGCGTAAGCGGTGGAAGCAGCCGTATGCGCTCCGTAGGAGAGTGTGGAGGAGCATTGGCGGAGCCTTTCTATTTCAGTGAGAGACATGGGGTCACGTTACGCGACACGGTCACGCGAGCCCTCTCCCCTCCCCGCGGGCACCCGATTTCCCGATACCTGGGCGCGAGCGAACGATTTTCGAAATCGGCACGTACCGCTGCCAATAGAAAATCCGAACTGCTGTTGTCCCTGCAGTTCTCGCCTAGCCACGTCCCTGCGTGCTGCTTTGTCGGAGGCGAAGAGCCGTAATCGGTGCCTCCTTCGAGCATCTGGCACCTAGCAGCAGCACCTGCTTCTCCAGTTGATCGTCTTCGTCTTCTCCTCGTAGTCTCTCGATCTCTCGCTTCTCCTTCAAACGCACATCTGACAATGTTCTCTCTCGACTTTTGTCGGGCAACGTTCTTCCTCTTAGGCAGCTCCGACCCATCCTGGGTCCCTGGGTCTTCCTACTACTCGGCGCGCTCCTACGCAGAATGAAGTTAATCGGTCAAATCATTCCCGCAGTCAAGGTGCTTCCTTCCTCGACCCACACACGGCTTCGGGTTTTCTCATCAGGTGCGCGAGCACCAGTCTTCTTCCGTTCCTTCGCCGTCGCTGCGTCGCCGGAATTTCCGGATAACGCTGGCGCCAAAAGACGCGATTCACGCCGTAGCCGCGCTATCCAAAAGAGAAGGTCGTAAAACTCCAAGTCGGTCGCTTATTGGAAATGACTCTTCCAGTCTGGTGGCCTGAACGCGTTAGCCCATATCTAGCAGGTGTATGCGAACATACGTGAACATCCTCACGCGTAC